AAAGTCCCCTAAAAAGCATTTGTGTGGTAATGACTTTTTCGTGAGTTTTTTTAGCTCAAGTTTTATGTTTGAAAAAATCTCAGGGAATTAAAATGCAATTATTGTGGGCAGGCACCACTGGTTTCTTTCAACAAAGATTGCACAGCATGCAAGTTGAAACTATCTGTGCGATAGATGTCGCTCCTCAGGATCCCCAGTACACTGATCACTAGGCAAAAGTAGACCTGATCAAAGCTACTGGAATGAGGATCAGCTCAGATCGAGGACCAAATTACGGATTACAGATGACATAAGCATGTCGCTGAAAGTGAGAAACATGAACTTACTCGTTCTTCTTTCTGTCGCTGCACTTTCCATGCATTGAACAACTGCTTCTTCTCGCTGACTTTATTCAAAACTCGAAATCGCGGGTCAGCCTGAATGTACCTCATCGCATTCTCCCATGAGCTTGTCGATGAGATCTTCCCTTCATTGTACTGAAAAAAAAAACCAGGATATATGTGCATCATGTATAACTACAGCCACTTAAAAGTTGGCATTCCCTCCCCAACATCCTCTGTTTGTGCTTCATAGACAGTAGATGCAAGGTTATCAGTTATGAATTTCCATTTTTTCTTCTAGGAGTCGCTTAGATGCAAGCTGAAGGTTTTTCCGATTCCTCGGTAACTGGCAGTACAGCATCGAAACAAATTTATGGATTGTAGTAAGACTGTTTTATCTATTGGGTTCAAATCTATTACTATTATATGTTTTGTTTACAATAACACCTAAAATCTGGTAAAGTAAACGCAGCAGGCGAACCAGTCCTTCTGGTATTTTGCTCAGTTGCTGTGACCAATCCTGCACTATCTAATGACTAATGCGCTAGCCATCTTGAAGTTCATTTCGTTTTCTGAAGGAATTATCAAACTATCGGTCAGCGATTCTCCTGGCAAAAGTTCGTACCAAGGCTTTAGCTATTTCGAGATGTCCCTGGTGCGTGCTGGGTACCACCATCTTATCTCAGGCCAGATGGGCTACGGTAAAGTACCTTACTGTTCGCAGAAGAAAGCTTTTTACATCAAAATTTAAACACAATTCTTATGTTTCTTCATACATGTTTCCTTTCTTTTTTTCTTTGAAAGCTCACTTACTTTGTCGCGCAGTAGTTCGCGGAACTTGTCGCTCTGCTTTTGCTTCAAATCCTTGTCCTCATCGGTCGTCGGCGCACCTTCAGCGGCTTTGGTTGCGCCCTGTAAGTTGATTGCTGTGCAGTGATCTCGAAAAGTATCGAAGAAAGCTAAGTAATAAACAAGGAGGAATGAGCAGATTACTTACGGCGGGTTGTTCGAGCGACCTCAGAGTGGCCAGCATTGCTTTCTCCAAGTCGGACTCACCAGCCGGTTCGGTCTTCAGCGCATCGTTTCCTTTTAAATCTGCGCCACTTTTTACTAAATTTGCAAATGAATAACACTTCACATGTATTTCACTGGACTCTCAGCTCTCCTGTGAATCTCTGCTTCGCATATTCTCGGTGTAAACTTTGTGATTTTCACCATTACTATGAAGATTCTCAAGCTGCTGAGGCCTTTACTAGTGTCACAATAGAACAACCTCTTTTTAAACAGTTTGTCGATGGCCTGAACTGATAACGACTACCGAGAGAACTTTGTCATTACAGGGCCATGAACTTCAAAGAAAAAAAAGGCCTGGACTTGTTGACTGTTACAAAAAACAGCACTAAATTCAGATCTGACAATGAAACGACAGCTATAAACCTGCAGCTATTCTTTTACATTTCACAGAATGTACGATTTTGCCTATGATCACCACTCGCTGCATTTTAATTCAAAACTTTTTATGACAAAAGACAAACTGAAATTTCATCC